TGCTCAAGGTACGGTAGCCGGAGCGCAGAGGGGACCCGCAGGGCCCGGGGGGAGGGGCGCCCGGGGAGGGGGCCGAAGTGCCAGGGAAACCGAGTCCCAGGAAGCAGAAGCGGGGTGTGTGTGTGTGGGGGGGAGGGGAGGGTCTTGTCAGGAGCTGGAATTGGATCAGCTCACACTGGGATCCCCCCTCCACCACCAACCCCCCCCCCCCCCCCCGCCCCGAAATACAGCAGCGGGGGAGGGGAGAGCAAACTCCCATTCCAGAATATTCCACAGAAGCTATTTTATTCACCTACTTCCTCTAACTCCCCCATCATCTCTCCCTCGCCCTCCACACATCCCCCCCCCCCCCCAGCCTGAGCCAGGAGGCTGCAGCCCTCTGGGGGGGTGGGGGGGTGGGGGGTCAGCCCTAGGCTCCATCCATCCAGGATGGGGGTGAGGGTCAGCACAGGGTCAGAGGCTCCAGTGTGGGGCCCCTGGCGCCAGGGCCCTGACCCTGCCCAGCACCCAGCACCCAAGTTCAGTCTCCTGGGTCCCATTTTGTGGATGGGACCACTGAGCCCCAAGTATCCGTGTGCAGAGAAGAGACTGTGTCACCCCCCCCCCCCCACCACCGCGTTACTTTGGGGGGTCCCCAAAGTTCATGCCTCAGGCAGGGAGCCATGGGTGTAGATGGCCACCCTAAAGTGTGAAAGTGCCTTTCTAGTCTGGGGTCTGAGGTCCTGCAGTTCTGAACAGAGGGATGGGCTTCCAGATCAGCGGCCATTCCTGGCCAGGCCATCCCGGTGACCAGATCTGGCCCCAGCCTCCCCTCCGGGCCTCCCAACAACCAGCCCCCCCCCCACTTCCTCTCTATCTAGTCCAGAGAGACCCTGACAGCCCCAGGTTCTGCTGTCCAAAATGGAATCTGCTCCAACCACACACATGAGGAGCCCAGAGCCTCTCTAGTTTGCTTGTGGGCACAGTGAAAAGTTTATTTTATGCATGTTAAATCCTGCCTACAAAACAACATATCTGTGGTATGGCTTCCATTAGCTTCTAACATTTGCACATTTCACCCAACTTGTCCTGAGAAGCTGGCTCAGCTGGCTTCAGATTATCTATCTATCTATCTATCTATCTATCTATCTATCTATCTATCTATCTATCTATCTATCTATCTATCTATCTTCTTTCAAACCACCCTTCTTCTATCTGCTTGTCTAAGGATTCCTTACCACCTGGTGATCCTCCTAAGACTGGCCGGTGTCCCTACCCCTCCCAACCTAAGATTACCCCCCCCCCCCAAAAATGTTCACTTATTATTTTTCTTTTTTCACTAATCATGTGGTATCTCTAACAATTTAGAAATCCTATGACTTGAAGTTAAGGTTTCATAAAAGATGATAACAACAACAATGATAGTGTTTTTTAGTAACTTAGGATGGGATTCTAAATTGCTGGGCATATCATGTAGAGTGTTCCCTGGCAGACAGTGACTATTTCCCAGGTTCTTGGTAATAAATGATTTATAAAGGAGCCATTCAATTTCCAGTTGGAATATAAGAGGGCCACGATGGTGGGCACGTCATTGTGGTACGAGGGATACATATTTGCTGATTTCTTTCTCAGTGAAATAGCTTATTAAAAATAATAACAAAATTAGAACCCCTCGAAAGCACATTAGGAATTGTCTTTCCACTGTAAGAAAAAAAGGACACCATCAAATAACTTTGTCAATAGAAGGCAAGTTCATGAAGTCACACGTTTTCTGCAAGGACATAAAACAACTCAAGTACCCCTTCATGACTGGTTAGAAAGTACAAGTTGGACACTCTTAGAGCTCTAACTGTTGCACTGCAATTTTTAAAAAGTAATTAATTACATGTATTTATTTACTTCTTTTAGTAAAAGATAGACTCATCACAGCCAGAGGTGTCAGTGGGCCATTCAGTGTCTCAAAAGCCAAAAGGGATTTCCATTAGATAATAAGTTATGAAATGTCTCACCCCACGGAACGAGTCATCCAATGATGTCACACGGAATTCAGCCAATCCCAAGCAAAGCCCAGCCCTTCTCTTTTGAAAGGTACCAATGTGTGAGGGTACAAATAAGTAGTACAGTATAAAACTTGCCAGTGCCAAGGCCATGAAGAACTCCCACAGCTCTCACCACATGACACCAGAGCTGGCCCGGTGAACCGGAGGGCTCAGGAGAGGTAATGCTTTTTCATTCTTGCTTATGGCTAGGAGAAGCACTTTTCCAACTTATGCAGACTTCCAGGGGGGCATTTGTGATTTGTTAAAATATTTTTTTCCTCTTATTCCAGCAGGTTAATACTGTGGATTTTGATTTTTAATGGTCCTAGAGCATGCGAATAGATTATGTGTTTATACAACTCTCTCAGCACATATATACAAATACATATGCCAGAAAGAAAGCTATTTTTAAGAGTTCCATTTGCCAAATAGCAAATCTAGGGAACACACACATACTCACATGCGGAGACAATCCAAATATT